ATGTCTGGGGACGGACCACACGTCAGAGAACTGCTGACGTCATCAGATGGAATGAAATCTCCCTGGGCAATAGCTGTTCGTGGTGACAGGTTTTTTGTCTCTTCTACTGGTGGTACAGATGACAATAATTATATCCGTGTTTTTCAACTTTACTAGAAAGAAATTTAAAATCAATACAACAATGGGCTGATCATTTGGACTAATTGTTTACCATAACAATGTCGGATGGACAATGTTTGAAGATACAAACTTGAATTTAAATAATGATATTGTTTCACCACAAAACATCTGTAAATAATACAAAGCGAATGAGATCCGTGACCGTGTTTGGTTCTGATGACGTCACACCCACAGGGTGTGGAAACATTTAACACCACAATAAACCTTTCCGGTCACCTTCCCGTGGATGTTGTCCAGTCATCTTTACTTTGAATTTTGAACATCTGGAAACAATTTCTGAAAACTAACCGTAACTAATAGTTTTGTAAGTTTGTTGGTTCCAAGTTTTTGTTTTTATAACCACATAAAAATATGTAATTTTCATTATTTTTTCCTTCATGATCAAGTTAAACATTTTAAATTGAAATAGTTTTTTGCATTTAACATCCTGGTTTGTTTAGTTTTTTGGTATTTAAGATTTTGGTGACTTCTGATTCTACAGACCAGGAAAATTATATCCGAGTCTTTCAACTCCACTAAACATAATAGAGATGTACACTTGATGGCGTTGCTCACGTGACGTGTATATGTATTATCATAGTCACACAAACAATTAATACAAATAATTTTACATTGCAGTCGTTTTTTATCACATGAAACTTTTTCTTAAAAATTATTATCATACGTTTAACTATGACAATATGAAATCTGATTCCTTATTGTTTTTGTTTTATTTTTTTCCAATTGATGAAAACAGGACGTTTGGTTTATCAGTTTTAAAAATGAAAAATGTCACTTTGTTTTAATTTCTGTGGTCCTGGCCGATTACCATCAGGGTGTAAAAATGGAGTTTTACTGAAAGTTGTTTTTATATTAACCTGCTGGGCAGATTAACAATATAAATATAAAGTGTCCGTTGTTAATTCTGATCTTGTGAAATGGACAGGATACTATTTTGTCGATATCATTTGCTAGTTTTGATGGCACGTGGATATTTTTTTCATACACGTATGTGATCTTTGAGCTTCTAAATGAACAGCCAGAGGATTTTTCTTTACTCAATAAATCACTCTTTCTTTACGTGACATTTTGTTATTTCATTATTTTAGTAGGTCAACTATTTTGATTCGGATATGTCGTCTATTGTTCTTCAAGCTGATCATTTAATTATTGAGTAAGCGATCTTTTGAGCCCGCGATTTTGTACTTCACATTCAATTAGTTATTGAGTAAGCGAGTTTGTCGTGACTTTGTCGAGGCTGCAAGTTTGTCCACTATTAAGTCCGCAAGTTTGTTGGGTATTGCATTTTCAGCTTGTTATTGAGTCTGAGTTTGTCATGTAATGCTCATACACCTATATATTGAGTCCATGACTTTGTCGAGCATAACACATTTAGCTAATTGCTGAGTCAAGAATTGAGTCGATGTTGTCACGGCATATTCCAGGGGTGCAGATGGTGTAAGTGAGCGTAACCCTTGGGCGGAATACTGTGCTTGGTGCCTTTGGCGTGGTATTAAAATGAGGTAGCACTCTAAAGTCAGCATCGTATCCGCTTTAGCGCAAGAAGGCAAATACATCAACATATGTGGGGTTTTTTGATCTCCAGTCTTACGTATCCAGACCTTGGTATTGATTTTCATAGGATTTATCGACATTTACATTAAGTAGAATTATGTACTCTGTAGTTTTTGTTTAACGTCCTATTAACACCTAAGGTCTTTTAAAAACATGCCTCCATGTGTATAAGATGTGCGGGCGGGAGGCAGTATGTTGGGCCGACATTAGAGTGCTACCCCGATGGCACCAAGCATAGTGTCAGCATCGTATCCGCTTTAGCGCAAGAAGGCAAATACATCAACATATGTGGGGTTTTTTGATCTCCAGTCTTACGTATCCAGACCTTGGTATTGATTTTCATAGGATTTATCGACATTTACATTAAGTAGAATTATGTACTCTGTAGTTTTTGTTTAACGTCCTATTAACACCTAAGGTCATTTAAAAACATGCCTCCATGTGTATAAGATGTGCGGGCGAGAGGCAGTATGTTGGGCCGACATTAGAGTGCTACCTCGATGGCACCAAGCATAGTATTCCATACAGTCATATTATATCGGCAACAGGTTAGCCATTTGTTGTCATTACTCTAAACGCTAAGCAGGAAATAAAAACTACCTTCTTAAGGACTTGGGTATGTTCTAGAGATAGAACGCATTGCCGCCCTCACTTTGGCGAACAATCAACATTAATGCCAAAAGTAAGGTATTGTCAGCGGAGGCACTGGACAAAAGATTGTTAGAAAGTAGAGAGAAAATATAAAGATACCATTTAAGGACATGTCACTATATGTGTAATGTATGCGTGCATGTGTAGGCGAGTCTTTGGAGGCAAGGAAACTAGCTATCTGAACAGAACTACAAATGTTTTGCCAATTCGTGACGTCTTCATTATTTTGACATTCGGTTAAATAGACGCACGTGTTAGATTAATGCAGTTTAGATTGACAAACCTGGCGTGTAGTGTTGTCCAGGCACAATGTGAAACGTACTGAATTGTAATTATATTAAGGTAAGCTTGGGATGTATCAGAATTGTAATTATATCAGGTAAGCTTGGGACGTACTAGAACTGTAATTATATCCATGTAAGCTTGGGACCTACTAGAACTGTAATTATATTAGGTAAGCTTGGGACGTACTAGAACTGTAATTATATCCAGGTAAGCTTGGGACGTACTAGAACTGTAATTATATCTAGGTAAGCTTGGGACCTACTAGAACTGTAATTATATCCAGGTAAGCTTGGGACCTACTAGAACTGTAATTATATCCATGTAAGCTTGGGCCCTACTAGAACTGTAATTATATCAGGTAAGCTTGGGACGTACTAGAAATGTAATTATATCCATGTAAGCTTGGGACCTACTAGAACTGTAATTATATTAAGTAAGCTTGGGACGTACTAGAACTGTAATTATATCCAGGTAAGCTTGGAACCTACTAGAACTGTAATTATATCAGGTAAGCTCGGGACGTACTAGAACTGCAATTATATCCAGGTAAGCTTGGGACGTACTAGAACTGTAAAGAACTGTAATTATATCCAGGTAAGCTTGGGAAGTACTAAGTATTTAACAAGGACAATAAAAATAGTGTAAGCAGTGGATTATACTCCCATTCCGTTTTGCCCCTGACCTTTGACCCTTTAACCTTGACCGATGATTACAAGAATCTTATCAGATATAATACTCTATGGATGTACTGAGAAAGCGATTACTATATACTCCTCATTAAGGGAGGTGTGTGTATAATTTTAGCAGGAAAGAGAGTAGTCTGCTTCCATTAAGGTTATCGAACCTGCGATTCCACCCTTTTGCTTAATGGTAGATGGTCCGACTGGGAAGTGCGAGACCGCAGGTTTGATCACTGGGTTGTCGCTGCCAAGTTGGGCAGAAGAAGAGAAATGCAACGGCCAGACCAGGGCTTGAACCCAGGACCCTCCGAACTCTAGAAGGGTGCTCTAACCAATTGAGCTACCTGGTCGCCGGCGATCGACCCAGTTCAGTTCGCTACATAATTAAAGAAAAAAGCAAGGTTTCTAATAAGCAGAACATATAACACCGATTCCTTTAAATGTCCTTTTATTGATCTCACTAAATACACAAGCATGACTTCAACACTCATAAACTTCTTCCATCTCATGATCACTGTAATCTTCACTATAATCCTCGTCACAATATATATTTCTGCCCCGTTCCTTATGATTGTCAACATTTATCTGCACTCTCATCAGTTTTTACATCAGCACCTTTTTTCGTTTCTGACGTTCGCTTGAGGAATCCGTCAAACTCACTGGGAATGAGATGGTCACTGTCTTTGGATACTCGGTAAATGACTCCAGTAAACGGTGCTGTGTACTCGTCATTGATCTGTGGAACAAAACACTACATCGTCACAATCTATAGATTTATAGTTCTTAAGAAGATCTGACAGTTCAGAAGTACTTGAAAAACAATCTAATACTTTTTGAGATATGCGCCTGAAACTCAAAATTGTACCAACATGAACATGTTTTGTCACCATTTCCATTAAAACTGGACATTTCTTGAAATCAGAAGGTGGCAATATAAAAGGGCATTTCTATAAAGTATGACTCACTGATGTGTCAAGTTACTCCTCTACAACATCCACACATGGATGTTGATGACTGTTTGACTATAAGTATTGGATACATGGCGCTAAACCCAAAGTCTATATACACATTTTCACACATTCATATATACACATATATATAGAGAGAGAGTATTATAGAGAAGATGTAGTATATGTTCGAATTAACAGGAGAATACTAGAACCATTTAATACATGTTCACAGAAAATAATACATGTAACTAGAATATCATAGATTTTACCATTTCAATTAATATAGTCTATTTACTTCAATTATTAATAGCCTAGTGTTTGGTTGGAGGCACTTCAAAGACATACTCTAAAGTATGACTCTCTAATGTGTCAAGTTACTCCTCTACAACATCCACACATTAATTTGTATGACTGTTTGACTATAAGTATTGGATACATGGTGCTAAACCCAAAGTGTATCCAGGATATCATACAAATGGACAGGAAAATAGTAAACAAGTAACGCCGCCTCAACTCCCTTGTTGTAGGGACATAAAAAGGGCTGTGAACCTACAATATAAGTTATTGATATTACTACAGTCTCGCCATAAGGGCCTGTGCTTTTTTATTTGGAAACGTATGCAGCATTTGCACAAATTTGAGAAAAATGATGTGTTTTGTTTTGATCATGACATTTTGATTTTTGTTTGGGTTGATCCCGGGGGGTAGTTTTATTTTCGCAAATTTGGCAAAATATGCAGTGAATTGGGGAAAGTACAGCTTCAATTATCTTGGCCCTCAATGTACCAAAACACCTACTATAAGTGTGATATGTAGTGTTAATGATAGGGACAACTCATATTCCCCTGTGATTGGTGAATTAGGGAAAACATGGCTTAAATTATGTCGGCCCTAAAAAACACGATATAGGTGTGACATGTACCCTCAATGAAAGTGTGAACTCCTCTTTCCCCGTGACTGGTTCCTCTGGCATTGTGATGGAACTTTCCGTCGCTTCTATCCCCTGTCAAAGTTCAAACCAAAAGTTCAATACATGAGAGATGAGAATCATTTATGTTGCTCACACAACAGAACTGCTATGATATTGAAATTATTGAATGATCTAGATTACATGGTTTATTACTGGCACTGAAGAAGACACAACCCGTACAGTATGTTCAATTTTGATGTGATAGAATAGGTATAATCAACAAATGTTTGTATGAAACGTAAATAATGAACTAAGATAAACGTAGCGTTGTTTAATTAGTTTTTCCAACATTTTCCTTCCCTGGAAACATATTCACCAATTAGGCCCTTACATGTTAATTAATTTTCAAACATTTTCTCATCCTCGTTACATATTCCACCATTATACATTTACATGTTAATTATTTTTTAAACAATGTAGATTATGGTCGATGGTAAAATATACTGTCACCACATATTAAACCGCCTTTTTAGCCCTCCATAATAAGGGTAATTTATCCCTCCATAATAAGGGTAATTTAGCCCTCCATTATAAGGGTAATTTAGCCCTCCATAATAAGGGTAATTTAGCCCTCCATAATAAGGGTAAATTCATTATGACATTGAATATTATTTCACAGCATACTTTATATTGTCATCGATGTGAAGGGCAAAACTTACACTCGATGGTGATAGATTTTACCGGTAATGGGAGACTATCTGACTTGGCCCAAATTTTCCGGGTTTATAGTAACATGAGGAAACATTCGTATACTTTTCTTATCAGTTGCTTACCGCCTTCCAGAGAGCAACCATCACGTGTGTCGGCGTCAGCTCGGTGTCGGTAGCCTTACTCAGGGCGATGGGCAGACGCATCCCTGTCAGATCATTTACGGTCTACAAGGAAAACATAAAACTGTAGACATGTTAATTTCATATTTTGACCTCTTCATGGAATAATATGAGAATTTGGTTTTATTGTAAAATAGTGGCAGTATAACAAGATTGCATTGAAGTTGGTTTTGATGTAAGGTTTAATGACACTTGTGCTAAAAATTAAACAAGAGGCCAAGAGGGCTTGTATTGCTCACCTGGATATTTGATCAATCATTGGAAATTTCTCAATAAAAGTACTTTTGCAAATATTTCCATATATGGAGTCTCCTTGGCTTCAGAATGTTCCGGACTAATTACAATTTTATACTACACTATCTCAGCATGCTACTGGTCAAATATCACCACCCAGTGCCTCCTGGTATTGCGGAAGAAGATGTTAAAAGATACGTTCATATTTGACCCCTATGACTGTAAAAGTATGTCAAGGTCATTTATTAGTGGAAACTTTATAGCAATTCATGCCAGGTGCCTACTGGCCAAGTATCATTACTCTTGGCCTCCTGGTAAATCAGAAGATGTTTAAAAGAATTTTATTACATATTCGACCCCTGTGACCTCAAAAGTAGGTCAAGGTAATTTATTTTCAGAAACTTTATACGACTTTGTCCCAGGTACCATCTGGCCAGGTATCAGTACTCTGAACCTCCTGGCTATTCAGAAGTTGTTTAAAGGTTTTCAACACTTTTTATTCTTGTGACTTCAAAAGTAGGTCAAGATCATTTATTTGAGGAAAGCTCTAGGTACCTACTGGAAAAATATAATTACACTGCCTCCTGGTTATTGCAGAAAAAGTTGTTTAAAGGTTTTTACATATTTGACCATTGTGACCTTGGAAGTAGGTCAATGTCATTTATTTCAGGAAACGTTATAGCACTCTGCCAAAGGTACCTACTGGCCAAATATCACGGCTGTAGGTCCTTAAAAAGAAGTCGTTTGAGGGAAAAGTTGACGGACAATGGACAACACACCATACCATCAGCTCAACAAAGTGCCAGTTGAGCTAAATATACTAAGTATTCCTACATCCCAGAGTAATTTCCTATCAAAAAAAAATTGATCACAGTTTCAAGAGAAACAAGAGCATCGCAAACGGATGCATAATACGCCCGTCTGAATATATCGAATGACGACTTGAAACCTGTAGCAAATCACATGCAATTCTTGATGAAATATCTGATCTTTTTACCTGATAATCTCCGTGTAAATGTACAGCGTCTTATATCATAAATGAAGTTTATAATCTCTGATATCATTTGCCAATCACAGTTGCTGACAAAAATAATTTTAAAATGGTCTTTCTGGTGCTTTAATCCGATTAATTAAAAGTTTCACCCTTTCTTACCTTTATTACCACCTTTACAGGTAAATACTGAAGCAACTTTAGAATTGAAAACGTTAATGTAAAATAGAGACAATAACGAACAATTTTCATATTACTCTTATTCACATATAACATATATTTTTCAAGTTATGCACATTTGAAAAATCAAGTAAATTAATTTATATTTCAACAATTAATTCAGCAGTGGTGCCCCTTTACATAGAAATTATTCACATATAACATATATTTTTCAAGTAATGCACATTTGAAAAATCAAGTAAATTAATTTATATTTCAATAATTAATTCAGCAGTGGTGCCCCTTGACATAGAAATCAATGTAGCAGCATAAAGGGTTAAAAAAAACTCCCGCTTTCTTTCGCAGCATTTTGGATTCCTGCTAAATGTCCCCGACGGAAAATCACTCTCCACTTGCCGCATATGTTTCGTAGATTTAAGTTACAAGCCAGTGAACACATCAAACATGGCGACACATTTGAAGAGGAAGCATAACATTTCGTCATCCTGTATCGTATCAAAATGTATCGTATCGTGGGTAGATATCGTGATACGTATCGTATCTGGCATAGGTGTATCGTTACAGCCCTAGATTTTTGTTTGTAAAATTAAATCCATATTGTCCCTTAGACCCCACATGAACATTCATGCCAAACATAAGGACAATAACACATGATCTGACTGAACTGTACACCACTGAAGAAACTTGCACCTAAACTTTAACCATACGGGCAGACGGAACGACGGACGGATGCAAACGCTATACCATAATACGTCCGTCGAAATTTGACGGGCGTATAATTATTCAATTCATTGAAGCAAAGGGTAGACAACTCTGCTCATACCTGTTCTGCTCTAATAATAACTAACTGCTGTTTTTCTTTAGCTTTCTTAGCGTTCAGGCCTCGCTTCTGAAAAAGAGAACATTATACAGTAGTTCAATGGGAGAAAACGACAACAGTGTTTTAATTCACAGTGGAATACAGCAGATCTTGTGAAACAGATGTTGACTTGTGAAATACAGCAGATCATGTGAAAGAGATGTTGACTTGTGAAATACAGCAGATCTTGTGAAAGTCATGTTTACTTTCCATTCAAACCCATACTAACAAATAAAAAAAAATCCATGTCTGGAGATTTAAAACTGTCCAATACATCTAAAGTAAACTGTAGCTTCTGAAGTTAATATCTGTATTATAAACCTCGTATAGACTGTCATTGAAAAAAGAATATTGATATGTATGTGTAATACATTTAATATATAGAATATCTCTAAAGCAAATACAAAGTAAAACTAAAACATTTTAGATATAATAACTCACAACTTATTTTCCATATCTCCGAATTTCAGACATATTTGTCATTTTTCCTTACATTTCATATTTCATCTTTCTGTCTTTGCATCTTAAAACTCCTATACAATGACAAAATATCGCCTGACACACTGAAGCAGTGTTATGATGTCATACAGGGTGTTTGATTAACATTGTAATATAAAAATTCATATATTTAACACATCAGACACCTTAATTATCGTCAGTTACCTTTATCAGATCATCATAGAGCTCCAGGTTGGCTTCAGTTGCAAATACCGCTTGCCCCATAGGAAACAATTTGTGGTAAAATAGAGATTGATTGAGATATAATACATCTCCAGCTCTACCGGTATCTGTGAGAGACAAAATTAATACTGTTACCACTATATACAATCCCCAGCTCTACCAGTATCTGTGAGGGACAAAATTAATACTGTTACCACTATATAAAATCCCCAGCTCTACCAGTATCTATGAGAGACAAAATTAATACTGTTACCACTATATACAATCCCCAGCTCTACCAGTACCGTGAGAGACAAAATTAATACTGTTACCACTATATACAATCTCCAGCTCTACCAGTATCTGTGAGAGACAGAACTAATNCCACCTCTACCAGTATCTGTGAGACAGAACTAATACTGTTACCACTATATACAATCTCCACCTCTACCAGTATCTGTGAGACAGAACTAATACTGTTACCACTATATACAATCTCCTGCTCTACCAGTATCTGTGAGAGACAAAATAAATACTGTTACCACTATATACAATCCCCAGCTCTACCAGTATCTGAGAGACAGAACTAATACTGTTACCACTACATACAATCCCCAGCTCTACCAGTATCTGTGAGAGACCAAAATAATACTGTTACCACTATATACAATCTCCGCCTCTACCAGTATCTGTGAGACAGATCTAATACTGTTACCACTATATACAATCTCCTGCTCTACCAGTATCTGTGAGAGACAAAATTAATACTGTTACCACTATATAAAATCCCCAGCTCTACCAGTATCTATGAGAGACAAAATTAATACTGTTACCACTATATACTGTGAGGGACAAAAATAATACTGTTACCACTAGATACAATCCCCACCTCTACCAGTATCCGTGAGAGACAGAAATAATACTGTTACCACTATATACAATATACTGTTACCACTATATACAATCTCCAGCTCTACCGGTATCTGTGAGAGACAGAACTAATACTGTTACCACTAGATACAATCCCCACCTCTACCAGGATCTGTGAGAGACAGAACTAATACTGTTACCACTACATACAATCTCCACCTCTACCAGTATCTGTGAGACAGAACTAATACTTTTACCACTATATACAATCTCCTGCTCTACCAGTATCTGTGAGAGACAAAATTAATATTGTTACCACTATATACAATCCCCAGATCTACCAGTATCTGTGAGGCACAAAAATAATACTGTTACCACTATATACTATCTCCGCCTCTACCAGTATCTGTGAGACAGATCTAATACTGTTACCACTATATACAATCTCCACCTCTACCAGTATCTGTGAGAGACAGAAATAATACTGTTACCACTATATACAATATACTGTTACCACTATATACAATCTCCAGCTCTACCAGTATCTGTGAGAGACAAAATTAATGCTGTTACCACTATATACAATCCCCAGATCTACCAGTATCTGTGAGGGATAAAAATAATACTGTCTGTGAGGGACAAAAATAATACTGTTACCACTAGATAGAATCCCCACCTCTAACTATATACAATCCCCACCTCTACCAGTATCTTTGAGACAGAACTAATACTGTTACCACTATATACAATCTCCAGCTCTACCAGTATCTGTGAGAGACAAAATTAATATTGTTACCACTATATACAATCCCCAGATCTACCAGTATCTGTGAGGGACAAAATTAATACTGTTACCACTATATAAAATCCCCAGCTCTACCAGTATCTATGAGAGACAAAATTAATACTGTTACCACTATATACAATCTCCGCCTCTACCAGTATCTGTGAGACAGATCTAATACTGTTACCACTATATACAATCTCCTGCTCTACCAGTATCTGTGAGAGACAGAACTAATACTGTTACCGCTACATACAATCCCCAGCTCTACCAGTATCTGTGAGACAGAACTAATACTTTTACCACTATATACAATCCCCACCTCTACCAGTATCTGTGGGAGACAGAACTAATACTGTTACCACTACATACAATCCCCAGCTCTACCAGTATCTGTGAGAGACAGAACTAATACTGTTACCACTACATACAATCCCCAGCTCTACCAGTATCTGTGAGACAGAACTAATACTGGTACCACTATATACAATCCACAGCTCTACCATTATCTGTGAGACAGAACTAATACTGTTACCACTATATAGAATCTCCACCTCTACCAGTATCTGTGAGAGACAGAAATAATACTGTTACCACTATATACAATCCCCACCTCTACCAGTATCTGTGAGACAGAACTAAAACTGGTACCACTATATACAATCCACAGCTCTACCATTATCTGTGAGACAGAACTAGTCCTGTTACCACTATATAGAATCTCCACCTCTACCAGTATCTGTGAGAGACAGAACTAATACTGTTACCACTATATACAATCTCCAGATCTACCAGTATCTGTGAGGGATAAAAATAATACTGTTACCACTATATACAATCCCCAGCTCTACCAGTATATGTGAGAGATAGAACTAATACTGTTACCACTATATACAATCCCCACCTCTACCAGTATCTGTGAGGGACAGAACTAATACTGTTACCACTATATACAATCTCCAGCTCTACCAGTATATGTGAGAGACAGAACTAATACTGTTACCACTATATACAATCTCCAGCTCTACCAGTATATGTGAGAGATAGAACTAATACTGTTACCACTATATACAATCCCCACCTCTACCAGTATCTGTGAGGGACAGAACTAATACTGTTACCACTACATATAATCTCCAGCTCTACCAGTATCTGTGAGGGACAGAACTAATACTGTTACCACTATATACAATCCCCAGCTCTACCAGTATATGTGAGAGATAGAACTAATACTGTTACCCCTATATACAATCCCCACCTCTACCCTAATACTGTTACCACTATATACAATCTCCAGCTCTACCAGTATATGTGAGACACAAAAGTAATACTGTTACCACTATATACAATCCCCAGATCTACCAGTATCTGTGAGGGACAAAAATAATACTGTTACCACTAGATAGAATCCCCACCTCTACCAGTATCTGTGAGAGACAGAACTAATACTGTTACCACTATATACAATCCCCTGCTCAATCAGTTTCTGTGAGAGACAAAAATAATACTGTTACCACTATATACAATCCCCTGCTCAATCAGTTTCTGTGAGAGACAAAAATAATACTGTTACCACTAGATCGAATCCCCACCTCTACCAGTATCTGTGAGACAGAACTAATACTGTTACCCCTATATACAATCCCCAGATCTACCAGTATCGGTGAGGGACAAAAATAATACTGTTACCCCTATATACAATCCCCTGCTCAACCAGTATCTGTCTCCGCCTCTACCAGTATCTGTGAGACAGAACTAATACTGTTACCACTATATACAATCCCCTGCTCAACCAGTATCTGTGAGAGACAAAAATAATACTGTTACCACTATATACAATCCCCACCTCTACCAGTATCTGTGAGACACAAAAGTAATACTGTTACCACTATATACAATCTCCACCTCTACCAGTATCTGTGAGACAGAACTAATACTGTTACCACTATATACAATCTCCACCTCTACCAGTATCTGTGAGACACAAAAGTAATACTGTTACCACTATATACAATCTCCACCTCTACCAGTATCTGTGAGAGACAAAGCCCTACCTCTCTGACCCCTCCGGCCCCAAGGATCATACTTATTTCATTTATACAAAATATAACCTTAAATCTTACTCTAGAGATACCTCAAAGCAAATACGCATGGTTACAACTTTTTGCGACATTTATGAGGAGTAGGAATTTGAAGCAAAAATGCTTTTAACTTATTCATCCCTGAAGACATAAGGCCATAATAAATTATTTGCTAGATTCTCATCCCCGCCCACCCCCTCTTTGAGGCCCCGCCCCAATTATTTTTATTTGCGAAAAAAAAAACGAAAATACGAAATCCAGATTTTTTTTCCATTTTCCGCTTCAAAAATTAGTTTTATATTATCAATTTCCGGTTGTAGAAAACTCGTCGTCTGCAAGTATGGTTTATGTAATTCTAAAGCTGAAACGGCAACTTGCCGTTCTTAAAGATTGGTATGGGTGTTCAGTAGCCGATACTATAACAAGTATTNTTCTAAAGCAACACATCTACCGGCAAAGCATGGGAACGTCGTAAATGACAAACTGAGAATGTACAATGATATAATCGACTGGTTACACGATCAGAAAGTTGGATTTATCAGTACAAATACGGAAACAATTCCATTCTTTTCTTTCCTCACACTGCAAAATCAGGCATTATATGTTCTGTGTCAAAAAGTGTGGGAAGGCAACCTGCACTCTTTGTAAACGACCAAACTTACCTGCAGATACTTTTGAAGGTCTTCACTTTCTGCCAGACCCAGAACCTGATACTGGTGACAAGTACAAGTCCTTTGATCAGTTATATGGACACGAAACTAGTGAAAAGCACAGGCCCTCACTAGGACACAAGCCAGGTCCTGGGCGTGGTATGCCATTCTCACCCACCGCCCAAACTGCTTAAAATGTTGAAATGGTGATATACTGTTCTGAATGTGACAAGCCTCGTGTTCTCTACTGCAAGCATGTTGTAAGAGGAAAGAAAAGAAAGGAATTGCAAACTATGTTGGGCGATTTGTCGTACACGTGTGGTTCTGATTTTGCTGATGTAGAAACCGAACAAGAAAATGTGTTAAAATCAGTGTTTGTAAGAAAAAATCTGACATGTGATGGGCCAGTTGAACTGGCCTATTTCTCTGCTGGTTTCGAAGCAGTATGCTTCCATTGTGGCACAGATGACAATGTGGCTACATCTGAGGAAAACTACCCCATATGCCAGAACTGTTTGACCAATGGCAAGGTCACTGTAATTAAAAGAGGACGATATGTGAAAAAGTAATGTGGTGTGTATTCATACCAAAAGTTAGTACAGATATATATGTGTACTGAACAGTGAAATGGTGTTCAATGTGTATACTGCATACTCAAAGTTGTTATTAACAAAAAATAAAGATAAATGTACACTGAACATGCGCCTTTATTTCACTATTTTAACACATTTGGAACCATTTGAAATTTTAGGAAAAATAAAAAATAAAAAATAAAATTCGCCCCCCCGCCCCAATTTTGAAAAGAATTTGGATGAGAATCTAGCAATTAATTTATTATGGCCTAAGTGGGTGACACCCTGGATGTGATTTCATTGGTCAATCTTTGTTCTATTACGTCACATAACAGTGCTTTTCAACATCATTTTCCATTGTGACGTTATGCTCCATGGCCATTGTTTTCCCTATCAGAAACACACATGATGCATTTTCCACAGGAAAAATGTGTTTTTTAAGATAAAATATGAACGTTATTGGAGATTAGATATCACATTTATCTTACTCTGGCTAATTAATTTTCTAATTGTAAAAGACATTCAGTAAACCTCCTGTCTTTATATAAATTGGAAATTAACTAACTCAAGTTAGATAAATATGATAACCAACCATCACTCGTTTGGGAACCTCTATATATCACTCTCCTATTTGTATAACCCATATAAAAATATTTTTTTCTAGATAAAATTGGTTTTCTATCCTAAATTTTTCAGCGTGCTAAAATACAGGAAACACACATATTTTTTGGTTTGGCCTAAGAATTAAAACTTACGTCTGACATTCTGAATGAGGATGGCCTTGGCTTTGACTAAGTAATTGTCCTTGCGGCTGTTGGAAACTTTGTAGATGAAGTGACGTGTCTTGAGACGCGCTTGTTTGGTGCTCTTGTGCAGTGGTAACGGGTTCAACCTCTCCATTACCACAGCTGTCTGCATAAAAAAACACCAACAAATAATTCAAAAAAATAATATATCAACTTATTCGTCCATAATTGCTACAAGTTTCATCATTTGTATAGATCTCCTCCTATGGTCATTTTTATGACACAACCACCAAGTGTCTGCCTCTTTTTGTCAATACATCTTAGTTAGGCTTTCCATTCAGCTCTATTACTATAATACTAAAAGTTTGGTTTGTTTGTGTTTTACGTCCTATTAACAGCCATGGTCATTTAAGGACGTGCCAGGTTTTGGTGGTGGAGGAAATCCAGAGTTCCCCGAGAAAAACCACCAACCTATGGCCAGTACCTTGCGACTGCCCCACGTAGGTCTCAAACTTGCGACCCAGTGGTGGAGGGCTAGTGGTAGCAGACTGTCAGACGCCTTAACCACATCAGATAGGTCAGGGACTGAGGTGGCCATGTGGTTAAGGCATCTGACATTCTGCTACCACAAAGCCCTCCACCACTGGGTCGCGGGTTCGAGGCCTTCATGGGGCAGTCGCCAGTTACTGGCCATAGGTCGGTGGCTTTTCTCCGGGAACTCTGGCTTTCCTCCAATACCAAAACCTGGCACACCCTTATATAAATGACCATAGCTGTTAATAAGGCGTAACACACAAACCAACCAAACAGATACATCTTGAGAAGTACTCCACCAATAGGTCAAATAAAGGTCAGTGTGACCTACATTTTCCTCCACAGCTTTTTTTTAGACATTTACTTAATCTTTCAAAGTTCACAGAAAATGAACTGTACAGATGGACAGAATGATTAATAAGATAAACACTTAATGTCTTTCAACACTTTAGACCATAATAGACTTATCCAGATCAATGCAAGTTTATTAAAGTTACATAGGCCAGGGGTGAAAGGGTTAATGCCCCCCCCCCCCCCCCCCCCCCCCCCCCCC